CCCCAAAACCCCAAAACCCCAAAACCCCAAAACCCCAAAACCCCATCATTCTCAAATTTAGTTATACTCATGAAATAAATAAAAATCTGATCTTTAAACAGGAACTGAGTCATTACATATTTGGCATATTTGGAGTGGAAAAGCTCATTATATCAGGCTGGTCTATCTTCGCCTCAGAACTTTCAGGGATATTTTTGAAGAACTTCATGATTTCATAAAACTCCTCATACTTTTACTATACACTGTTATCAGTATTGATGTCATGAACATCAATGAGCCTTCTCTGCTAATCCTCTCTCAATCCATAATACATGTAGAATAGATCAAATTAAAGACCATCTATAACTTCCTGCAGATCCTCAGGTTCTGATTCTCTAACAAAAATCTGCAATTCTTTATACTCCTCAATTATGATTCGCATTTCACTTAAGACATACAGCATATTCTTAACTGCTTCAACTCTCATGAGTCTTTTATGAGGTGGGATTTTATCAGGTTTTATTCCAATTACTAATTCCTCAATAGTGCTTACTCCATACTGAGATCTCATTATAAACTGATTTATCATTGTATAAAAGTCATTTGAATTGATTTGGAGTTCATCACAGACTGCCTCAAATACATCTTGGAATATTAGTTGGCAATCTTTTAGATCTTGAAGTTTTTAGAAAATATATTGTCCGATCATCTTTTTGCGTAAAAGTTCAATTCTGTTTTCCAGGATCTCAGTTTTGAACTCAGTTCTATATATCTTGTAATTATTAAGTAGAATATCAACCAACGCTTTCATTTATTACTGTGGTACATGCCTCAATTCAGTTGGGAATGGCCTTTTGAAATCTTTAAGCTCTTTTAGTATTTTCTAGGACAGCTGTTTATAAGATTTGTTAGCTCTTCTTCTCATATTTTACACTTGACTCTCGTTTAAGTCATTGTTAAATTCTAGCATAGACTAATTCTCAATAATGTATTTATCCTCAACCATCATATATTTCTAAACAAATTCTTAGCTTGTATCTGTGTCTCTATTTTTACCAAGCAACCAAGCAATAAAACCTGAACCTCCTATAATAGCTGCAACGACGAAAAAACCCATTAAATCTAAATGCTCTTGATTTTAAGTTGTTTAATTATTATTTCGTTAATATAAATAATGCAATCTGACTAGCGATAATTCTGCTTGGGGTTTTGGGGTTTTGGGGTTTTGGGG